GTGAAAGACTCATTCCTCTCACCTTTTTCTTTAGTCCAGAATGAGGGAAAGAACTTGGAATGCAGACTGCAGTGAGATTTCCCATTTTAAGGTCTGTCTCCTCAGTGTCATTGTAGCTACCCAGGCGTACTGGAGTTGATGAAGATCCTGTGTGGCAGTAGGGGGCAGGGGTCGGGGCAGGGGTGTGGTTTGCTATTAGAGTTCTTGTCTAATTTAAGCAAAGCTCTGGGCTTGATCTCTCTCAACCACACAATCCACACCACCCTCAAAGGTTTTCAGATAATTTCTCTGGGGAATCTTAGATAATGCCTACAGTTAATTTAAACTATTCCAGTACTCCAATTTAATCTGCACACTCTCCCAGATGTAGGGGGTGAGCTTCAAGCTAAAGTTCTCAACCCACAAACCTTGCAAGTCACATTTTTTACTTACACCATAGCTCACAAGACTTGGACTTTCTTCTTGCCCCAGTGCATTCACTCTTTAAGGCCTCATTTTATGACTATCTCATCTATGATAATGCTTTAAGTCATCCTATACACTACCTTCCCAATAGCCACCACTACTCAGACGTTACACTGAAAACCCTCTTGTCTTCTTGAGGTTATTGGCTCCATGACACAAGTAATCTAGATTTCTAATTTTGTTTGTAACCTTCCAAAATATGTCCACATTGGTTGATTTCATGACATGGCATAGTTTCTAAAGTTCACTTAACTCTAAAGTTGGTTTAATAAAATAAAACAAAAGTCTAAGGTAGGTAATGAGATGATAGAGGAATCTATTCCTGATGTCATATACTTTTTGATTTTCCAGGATTAATTTTAGGGTCAAAATTCTACTCAGTTCCTTCTGAATATCTCACTCCTTGACCCAAAATTTCTAACCTCTGCTCAGAACTATAGCTACTGATATCAATAGAAGCTAATATCAACAATATCCTTGTTTGCTCAGTAGATTATTGTTTGACTTGCATACCTAATATAATAATAATATAATAAATTGGCAAAACACTGACAGTATAATTCTGCATCATATATTTCATGCAGTAGTTCTCTTGTTGACATGATAAAATATCTGATAAAGTAAATTAAGAGAAGAAGACTGGTATTGGCTCACAGTTCCAGTGTATCATTATGCGGAAGCCATGACTGCTGGAGAATGAGGCAGCTGGTCATGGTGTATCCATATTCAGAAAATATGGAAAAAAATAATGCTTTGTGTTCAGTTTGCTGTCCTTTTTTGATTCAGCCCAAGACTCCAGCTAATGGAATGGTTGCACACATACTTAGGGTGTGTCTTTATACCACAGCTAACCTAGAAAATCACACACAGACATACCAAGAGGCTTATTTCTATAGCCATACTAAATGTCATCAAGTCTTCCCTGAAGTTGGAAAAGGTCGGGAAATGTACAGCACAAATGGGTATTATATAGACAACTCAAGCCTATATCAGGCCCAGGCTATGAGAAACTGATGGCTTCTGCTTTATGCCCATCTCAATGTGGTCTGAGAGCTCAGATAATAGCCACTTTGCTAACGAAAGCCACTAGACCATAGCTGGTCCTGGGGGAACCTCCGTCAGTTTAATTAGTGGAAGCAGAATTGCTTACGCCAAACTTACATCAATGTCTTACTATGTAAATTGTGATATATAATGACAAAGCTGTTTTTTAGCTGTAGAACTAAGGTAAAAATTTTTGCTTTTAACAATAGGTATTTAAGTGTCCCGTGATCTATCCAGCGTCATTTAGCTAGTGTGAGAATGGACTAGACATTAAACCCAGGATATCTGGCTCAAGTCCATTATGTACTATAGCTATACCAGTGGAAAAGACTGTCTATACACCCCAATTATTCTAGAAGTAGAACATTACTGCAGCCATTCTACTTCTCGTTAAGTGGCTACAATATAACAAATAAAGCCTGCCTGATCTACTGGCTAATACAGTGTCTATTGACTATCTACTAAGTACAAGACTTTTATTAAAGATTATTATCTGTCCACCTGGCTTCTTAATGTGCACTTTAGCTGCTCTTTCACCCTTAAATTGAGAGGAGCATCTCGAGGCATTCTCTTTAATATAAGGTCAAGATCCATTGCTTGGGCACAATAGCTGTGAGTAATTTAACATAGTCCATGCCGTTCACAAGCAATCCTGTTCTCCTATCAGTAACAGACTGATATATCACAGAGATCAAAGTACCAATTACTTCCAAAAGACTGGAGCATTGAAGAGCTGTATCAACTCAAAAACGATTTGTTCACATTCACACACAGTTAAGAGCAGCACTAAAAGCACTTTGCAGTTTTCCTTTGATCTGATGTGAGCACTAGCCAAGGTCCATCAGAGATGAACTCCTCAAAGGAAGTTTTCCACGCTAATGCTTTAGGAAGGAACGGTGGAATTTTTTGAATAGTGACATTTTTTTATACTTGTGGTCACACATGCTTAATTGTTTTTCTCCTAGAAGTGTCTCATTTTAGGACAACCATGCTTTAATGATATCATCAAAGAGCAAAAGCAAAGAATGGAACACCACTTGTAAAATGGTCTTTACGAGATTTCAGAGAGATGAAAACTGAATGACAGACTGGTGAGCATGAGATTTAATCTTTCCTATTTTCTTTTCTTTTTTGAAGTACCTCTCAGAGATCAAAGCTACATGAGTCCTCTTTATCCAAGAAAATTGGTTAGGTCATACATTGCATGTATTTGAAGCTACCCACTATGTCCAGCATCTAAGACTTGTCCTAAATCATTGGGTAGGCTTGATGCAATCTGTAGATGGTACTTAAGCCAGAATTGGCTTGACTATGAAGGTTTTAGGTTTACATAAAGCATGGAGCAAATTTCTTGTGGCTAGTTGGCAAGAAAAAAGTACCTAAAATCTTTCAAGTATGTCTCCTCATGTTTCTCTTTACACAATCCTGGGGTTCCTGTATCCTTCAGCCTGGGTCTAATCAATTCTGCTAAGCTCCTGGCTTTCTTCCAAGAGTATGTATTTATGCACCCGTAAAAACAAGGAGTGTCAACAGATTTATATCCCATCTTTATAGCCTAACAGAAAGAAAACGGAGAAGCATGTAATGATGTAATCCAATTTTCACCAGCCTCTGAAAGAAAAGCAGCCTACAAGAGGAAAGCTGTTGGAGAGGGCTTTTGCTGGTGGTTACTTGCTCCAAGAGACAACCCAGGCTTAGAGATAAATCAGTGGTAAGGTTTATGCACCTTGAAATCCATCCCTGTCCAGAAGCCCCTGGATCTCTTGGGTTGTAGAAAGAGGTTAGCAACTCAAACAATCTGCCTCCACTGCACCTCTATTTATGTATTTTCTGTGAGAGGGAACAACCAAAGACTGAAAATTACTACAAATTGAGGCAATTCCCTGAATCCCTGTGTAGCATTAAATCCACTTGTGGTCAGTGAAAATTTGGTCCTAAGGCAGACAGCAGAATCAACCATTCCTATGGAGAAAAAACCATTTGCTCTTCTGCTTCCCACAGAGTTAGCAGAATATACTCTGACAGAAACGAACCAGGTCTGCCAAGACCTGTGCAAACAGAACTATCCTTTTACGAACAGTAAACAGATCTATGTTTGAACTATAGAGAGTCATAATAGAAATATATATTGCCTTTTATTTTCTCCTCAGTGAGTGGAGTGAAATGTCAGGAGTTATTGCTGTAATATCAGTTGAGAAGTGCTATTTTTCTCTTTCTAGCATGTACATAGGTATGCATGCAATGGCACCCATGATTATAGGACCGCTCTACTAGCTAGGTTCTTAGCAGCCTTTGAAAAACATATAAAATTGGCCAATAACATCATCAACACACTGGCTTCAAATTGTTCTTAGGAATCATGAAAGAAGCAGTCTGGGTTTCTGCTAAGCTCAAAGAAAAGGAATAAAGGAAGACAACATGTTTCCATATAGTGAAGTCACATAATTTAGAAAGATTAAAAAACAACAACAAAAAAACCCTCAAAACACATGGGTGAGTTTGAATGATTCACACTAAGTTTATAGTGTCCAATATAATGGATGCGAAGGGGATGTCAGGAATTCTACTGAGCTCCTGGATCACATGTGAAAACTGAATAGCAGAAGGGATAAGGACTGGTATGTTCATTTTTACAAACAACTAACTAGGGTAGGGATAATTTCCCCCACAAGCACTGGCATGCCTTCTTTGATGCCAAACCATTTAAGACTAATAACTCGATTAACCTCCTGCCCCCTACTAACTAGATTTATGAACTGCCAAGAGAGGCGGCTAAGTATTAAGCTTTTGCTTGTGTTTAATTACTTTCAAGTGAAAAAAAATGCCTTACCACAAAAACCAACAACATTTTGCCTAGCTAAAATGAAGCCTTTACGTTGTCTAATAAAATCACTATACTAGTCAAATAAAGTAAAAAAAAAAAGACTCCAAAATGACAAGTCATTAACTAGGACCTAATATCAAATACAAAGACTATTATTCACAAGGAGTGGTTGAGCTTCTAGTTTCAATTGTACTTGATTTAATGGTATCCATCGTCCTTAATAATGTACAGTTCATGTTCTACTAAAGCTATCTGGAAAATGTGAATAGAATTGAACCAGGGTACAGACTTGACTTTGATAATAAATGTTCATTTCTCCTTCCTACTTTCTGTTAATTGAAAAGAAAACGTAATGCAAAGGAGAGGAGAGAGACGTCTTGTAATAAAAGTATGGTCCATTGTTCATTTTGAATAATAGCTTTCCCATTTCAGTGACAAATGGAAAGGATAACACAAGTTATCTCATGAGCTCATGAGTGGCACAAGGTTTTCCTTATTCACTCAGTCATTGCTTCCTCTTTCTCTAGTCTTAGTTTTCATTACCATGAACATCTTCATCTTTCCTTCAAAGGCAGTAATTCAAAGTAATTAGCTACCTAGAATACTGATCACAGTATTAGTATTGCAAAGTCAAGAAAGAAGAACAAAATCACAAGAGAAGGTTTACCTGAATGCTGGCTGTAGAGCGGTTCTTTCGGGTGGTGGTTGTAGCCATGGTGGTGGTGGTTTCCATGACAGTGGTAGACATTTCAGGTGGCATGGAGGTTGTCTGTGTCGTTCCCGAGACTGATGGGACTTCTCCCACTAGCCGGACACTTCCATTGATTTTAATATTAGGGTTGTTCTCAGCTGCCATGTTCAGTACTTTCAAACCATCATAATAGAGCCCAGAGAGTTGGCCTTGGAAGAGACGTCCTTTGTCCTTTCCTCCGATGGCTATTTGCGCCTGGGTGTTGAAGATGGTTAGCTGCCGGCCTAGTGGGTTAGGTGGAGGAAATACTATTATTTCTATACATTTCTGATCCTTCCCTTACCTATTCTGTATGGAGCAAGCACCTAAAAAGGCTTCCTTGAACAACTGAAATAGATAAAATATATAAGAAAAATTCACTACTGGAATTGGTGAGTAACATTTTATGGTAATTACCTCTTCCACTGTCTAGCTAGAGCTCCTAAGTTACCAGGATAACTAAGTCTTTATCTTATTCAAAGGAAGGAGACATCTTGTATTAAATATGTGCAGTGTTCCAGTCTCCTGAGACATATAATCAGAGACGACAGAAACATCTAGCTCAGATCATGGCAAGAGTGAACCACATTTGCCTAGTGTTCTGACTTAAGCTATAAATTAACGTAATGACAACAGAAAAGAATGATATGTGGCAAACAAAACTCAATGAGGTGACTGAGAACATTGAGTTTAAAAATTAGGTTCAGTAATTAAATTAAATTTACTGAAATTAAACTGCAATTAAGAGGCTCAGATTAATTGCATGCTTATAAAAATGGACATTCTGATCACCAGAAACAGAGTTTTCCATAAACCATCATAGTGAATAATATTCTATCAGCATTTGCTATTTAACACCATCATAAAGGATGGATAATTCTGAGACAGAATGATAAGTCAATAGATTATTCTCTAAGATGGGGGAGTAATTAGGCATTGATAAAGTTCCTAGAACTAGAATGGGGACAGGGATGAGGTAATCCTAAAATGGTTTTAAGAGAATAAGGGGAGAATAATCAGAATATATTATATACATGCATGAATATATTATATAAATAACAATTAATCAATAAAAATTCATTTTAATGGGAAGATGGGTACTGACAAAGAAAACAAAAAGGATAACCCCTTGAATAATTTAGGACATGGTAACAGGTTGTACAATGCCAATAGTTAATCTTATTTCAGGTTTTTTTTTGTGGGCAAAAAAAGTGATCAGAAAATAAATCATGGCAGAACAGTTTTGAATAGAGCATTCAACTAACTAGGTGTATTTTCCATGATTTTATTTCATTTTTTAAAGCCAAACTAGGTCTTTCCAATGGGTGGAAAACAGCATTTAAAATCTCATTGTAATTTATCATGACAGCAACATGCTATGGCCTTCCTTCATGTTTTCTCTTTAGACTAATTCCATCTGCTTTCCCATATGGAGTTGAGAGAAAGAAAAGACACCTATTCATGGAATTAGACACATCTGTCCTGGAATTTTCTTTAGTCAGTGATCAACAGAGCCACTAATTCTTCATCTAATCACCTTGATTATTTTAGTTGTAAATAATTATCAACTACTTTTTGCTATTCATGCCTGCTTGGTGAACCATACGTGCTTTCTTTCTACAAAACCCCATTGAACAGAGGTATGTTGTGGTGTTTGGCTTCTCAACTTCTATCACTAGAACAATAAGCTCTAGTTTGCACAATGTACCACTAGCCTTGGATTTCTGGAATTTAGTGTAGATATACCTTCTCAGTCTATTCTGCTAGAATGCACGAAGAAGAGAAAAGAAAAACAGTATACGTTCAGGGTGTATTCTTTAGACAAGTATCAATATCTGGGCACCTCTTGAGGGTCATTATTTGAATGACTTATAAATAATAGTACTCTCCTTTTAGTTTAGGAAACTTTGTTAGGATGGAAATGATCCACACTTCGTAAGAATCTTAGAACCATATAAAGGTTCATATTTTAATGATAACAGAATTCTCTAGTTCCCAAGGATATATTTGATTCACTCGATATTTTCTAGTAACTCTCAGTGTCCTGTGAGTTGGTACCATTTGACAGTTGCATACTTTTTGCCTCTGTTCTCCTCCCATGAGATGCAACATGCTCAGTGCGCAGTGGGCAGGGTAACGGGCTAGAGGTCATATTCCTGGTGCAGGGTAATGGGCTAGAGGTCACATTTCTTTCTTTAGGAGCCATACACTTGCTACAATAGAAACAGGATGAAAGATGTACAGAGTACTTGTTGCTTAGCTTCATATCAACATTTGGAGCAGCTTAACATACTGATTTAGAATAAGCTGTTTAGTGGCAGATTTCTAGGGTATAATGTTAGTATCTTAAACCAGATAGCCCCGTGCAATGTATGTTTTTCATATGCACAACTCCTGCCCATTTATAATATTATCTCTTTTTATTTTTCATCTTCTCCTCCTTCCTCCCTCTCTCTTTCCTATGTAAGCCAGCACTGAGGATTAGTTAATGGCTGAGTAACCTTGATTATACGTAGAAGATTTTATGTTGTAATATCCTTGGACTGCTTCATAATGACAATCTCTTATAATGGTCCTGATCTTACTTTCCCGGAAAGATTCATTCTGCCAATACTTAAATATGAAAAGTGGTCCGAGAAAATTGAAATTCAAACTGCAATAGACTGGCTAGAAATGATGAATCACCTTCATTCCATTTGCTATAGTTCACTCCATAAAGTGGGCATTGCTTATTCAAGAATGACCAAAGAATGAGGAAAGGCATGTCATGGTTGATGCCATTAGATTGAAGTGTTACCTTATTTTTTTGGTTATCATTGCTTTACCAGAGTGATTGGACCACTCACTTTTTAGTGCCAATACCCTGGTGGGTGAGACTGAGAAGGGCTATCCCAGTTTCAAATCATGCCACAGGAAGTGTTTGGGTTTCTGTTTTAGCTTGTTTGCTTGGTAGTCTCATGGTTAGGTCTTTTTCCTTTGGTTTTACAGCCTTCTAGTCCTCTGTACTTTGCCTACACAGTTCAGGTCAGAGCCAGAAATCACTTGGGGAAGAGAGCACTCTGTCTCTTCCCACATCTTCCTGTCAGTGTCTCATTTTTCTTTAGATGCATAGGAGATCATGAACAACAGAAAAACAGTATCAGTATCCTCTCTCTATGAAGAATGTACAGAACTAACTGGAGAAAGTTTCTGTTTTTATCATTTGCCCAAGATGCCTCAAAATCAATGTCAGATATCATTCTTATTGTTGTGATTTACAATGCTTAATAAATTTATGAAAATATTATATGCATACATTTGAATAAGTGTGCACTAGAAATACACACATATGCATATAGTTTTGGAGTATGAAAATCTTTCTATTGAAACTATTATGAAATTTGATGATAACAGCAAAACAGGGTTTGTAGCATGCAACTGATTGTTTCATTTTAGATTCACATCCTTTTGGAAGTCGTTATCTGTTGCCTCATTTTTAACATCAAGTTCACATAGGCTTAAATTAAATCTGTGCACGTCTCTAGTCAGTGTTGCACAAAGACTAATTAATTAAATCTCAGAATACCCTGGGGGAATAGGCAGCATTATTTCTCCTCTCCTCATATGGGAAATCTAAGACACAAAGAGGTTAAGTGGGTTGTCTAAGGTCAGAAAGTCCATCAATAGTAGACAGAGGCAGCAAACCCACTTGGCAGTGCAGTGACACAGCTCTCCTCCCCAGTTGCAGAAAGAACTCCAAAGAGACATCCCACGTATTTCTGAATGCACCTGTCTATTCTTCCTTTCATCTATTTATTCTGTATACTCATCTTCAAAAACAAGGTCTTCCAGTGCAAATTTTCCATTCTATTTGCAAATGAAGTTAGCTAGATAGAGGAAGAGGTAAAGAAAATAGATGCTACTCACCCAAATTACATAAAGAGTAATTTCAGGGGAAATCGTAGAGGAGATAATCTCAGTTTGCAAATGTTTTGTCCAATAATGTATACATACATATATATCTATCTAATAAAGAAGCCAAGATATATACATTCATACCACCTCACCCACCCTTACCCTCCCAGCATTCAACGTGTGTGCATGAGGGCTTCCTTTCTCCATGAAAGCCAGCTGATAATGAGCTATCAGAGGAAAACTAAAAGCTTACTAACCGCTTTATAATGGTTTGTACAAATGAAAATGCCTGGCATGCTATTAAACTTAGACTTCAAAAGGCAATGGAATAAAATAAAAGATTATTAAAATAAAATTGAAAGAAACACAAAAGTTCTCTCAGGCACATGAGACTCAAACATGCATCTCGTTCTCTTGTTTTAAAAGTGAGGCAATCATTGTCTTTAACGTTAAAGGGACTTTATGAGCTGTTGATTACTAATAGAAATTATTTGCTTTTTAGAGTTATTCTTAATTTATTTTTAATTAGATCCCATATGTTGAAAATAGGGCATGCAGTTAAGATTCAGCAAGCACTTCCATGTCTAAACATCTGAAGCATACACAGGTGTCCTTCATTTCTTTATTTGTAGATTATGTAACATCTCCAATTATTCCTCATATCATACTCAAACAAATCACTGCAACATGTAAGGGGTTATTTGAGGCCTTGAGACAAGAGTTAGATTATACTGCCTCAAGAAAGAACAGAACCCCTAGGTTTTTTAAAGAAAGAGAATTTTTCTAATGGAAAAGCAAGTGTGTTCTTGTAAGCATAAGAAATCACACAGAAAATTTTGCCAGGGTTTATAACTGCTGCCGTCTTCGAGTCAGAGTGGTTGTTCCTGTCAGTAAATCCCAACATGCTGTTTGGATTTTCATGAGACTCTCTCCTTATCAACTCATTGTCTTAATAACTTACACTTTGTTGCATAAAACATCTAAAACATCATCTGAATGCACCAGGGTATCACACCAGTGAGGTGTGAAGCAGGTTTGTTTAGTTTTAGTTTCCTGAAGCAACTAGAGAGTAATTAAGTTCGTCTAGAAACTTAGCCTCTGACAGTTTGAATTTAGAGGCAAAATCTGTTCTTTCTCATCTTTATCATTGTTTCAAAACAAATGATAACACACACTGCTTCCTTTATAACATTTGTTTTATGCACTTTAAGTTACAAGAGTTGATCTAGGATAATTTTTTTTTTTTTTTTTGGTTTGGTTTGATGTGGTTTGTTTTGTTTTTGTATGGTTGGTTGGTTGGTTAACCATGCTATATACAGCAAAACCAAAACAGATTCAAGATATAAATTTAACAAGTTTTTTTTTTTGAAAATTCTTTAAAAAGCTTTGGTGAGAGGTAATTTAAAACGAATTAACAAATAATGTCATGCAGTGGTTAAATTGCCATAATCCATTTCTTTCTTTGGTTTTCTTTTTAAATAGAGGTTTCCTGGAATTCCTTGTTTGTGGCTGCCATGTTGACAGCAGGCTAGATGCTAGTCCCTTTAACTATGTTTTAATGGCGATGTATTATTGCATGATTTATCAACATATGGCAGGTGGAAGCTGACACAAATTATAATGAAAATTAAAACAGTCATTTATGCAGCAGGCGATTATCATTTAAGGAACATTTATTTGCAGGCTTTAAGAATGAGGGTTTAGAATCAAATGAGTTTTAGAATGAAAGTTTAACGACCGTTACCTTTTTCCTGCAGCCACTCCTCTACAGGCCGGTTATATTTGAAGGGGATTTTCTGTTTTACCATTTGGAGGCGTTCATTATCAGTGTTGCCTTTAAAGTTTAAAAAACAGCTTAAAGAACAATCTGAAAAGTCAATAGGTCATTAAAAAAACATCCTAGGTGTTCAGTTTGTTTTATGAAGAGTTTTAGAGATAGATATCAATTTATCGTTAGTAGAGGTGGAGCCGAATTCACTCTGCCCTTGAATGACAAGACAGGTTGGAGGTCAGATTGATCTCAACTATGCAGTGCTCCATCACATGTTGGTCACATGATTTGAGATATAGATCAGTAAGCTGTCTGGCTATTTACAGAAATCTCTTTACCTTTTTAATCCTGCGTCATCCTTTTTTCTCTCATCTATCACAAAGTTGGTCCCAGTAAGGCTCAAGATCTAATTTTCCAATGTTTCTCCTATACATCAAGTTTACAATGCAAAGGGAATAATCAGACCCTTGTTCATGCAGATGCTACTGTTTTTCTGATGGGTTTAGTTCAGGAGCACAGGGCTGTACTCTTGCTGTTACTCTCAAGCATCTGTCTTTGCTCTGTACTCTTGAAAAAAAAAAAGGTGCTAGAGAAGATGGTTGAACCCCTGCTATCCAAGGGAGACTGGCCAAAAGATAGTTCTAGGATTTTGTTCCATGTTTTTGTTTGTTCATTTATTTGTTTGTTTGGTTGGTTGGTTTGGGTGTCTGAAATAAGACTCTGACTATAGTTGAGGTTAGCTTTAACTCATAGCAATTCTCCTGTTTCAGCTTCTAGAGCTTGAACTAAAGGGAGATTTCTTACTCCAAAAGGAAACCCTGATAGATGAAACTGGCAGATTAGTACATATGGCACTGTAGATCTCTATATTTTTTGTTGTTGTGTTGTTATTGGACATTTTAAACAGATGGTATCTACAAAAAACATAACCACAGGCAAAGGAAGTTATACCATTATGTAGCATTTATGGAGTTTGAGCTTACAATTTATTATTACTAGAACCTGCTGACTCAACTGTTCATTCCACCACTAATCCCACTTCTATGAAAGGGTCTTCTAGAACAAGCATCCATTCATAAAGCCTATAAGGTATATTTCTCCCGAGCATGAAATATGAAATTAGTTTCAGGCTCAAACATTGTGTTTTAACTGCTGGTATGCCCTCTCTTCCTTTTGTAACTGTTCTTACCACTCTTGGGTGGTTTGTCTAATTAGGAGAGACTTGGAGAGTGCTGGTATGGAGTTACTCCCCTAATGAACATGCTTCAAATAACAAAATAATGAAGGCATGCTTTGGGAGCTGCTCTAGCTCATCAGCCAACCTCACAATGATTTACTAAAAACCAGTACACTTTAATTCATCATGTTTGATTCAGAGCCCTGAGCTAAAACTTAGGAAACTCCACTCCAACGTACTAATATTTTAAAAAGGAAACAAAAGTCTTAAAAACAGATGGCTGAGGATTAAATTACAGAGAAGTCCAGAAGCTAGAATGAATATTAGGCTCTAGTATAGCAACAGACCAAGTTAACAGAAGTGAGCCATAACATTCCAATCCCAGAGCCATTATAATGCAGCAGTTATCACTGGCCGAGAACTGTGACAATTAGGACCTCCTTGTTGGGCTTGGTGGGGAAGTTAGAAGAAAGATAGAAAGTGAATAGCAATATTGGTGGATGGCAATTCCATATAGGCTTCTCTGATGAAAATATTATTCTGAAAATCTGAGTAATCCTTACTGCCTTGGGATTTTTTTTTCCCCTGCCCTGGGATTAAAACAAACAGCGGCTCATGAGAAGCAACATGGATATGCTTCCAGCCCATACTGAAGATGTCTAGCTGCCTACATAAATTATAACATATCAACATATCAAAGGGCAGTTGTAACCCATTGGAGGCTTTCTTATCCATCAGCTCTAGGCCTTGGGACTAGGACTACCAATAAACAAAAACTTATTGAGGGATAATGTGGATAAGAGGGAAAATAAACAGTCCTGGACTCTCATGGATAATATAAAGCTTTTCTGAGAGTGTAGCAGCGTGAAGGATAGGAGACAATAAGCAAGAGGAAAAATCAAGCAAGAGCATCATTTCTTGCTGTCTCTATACGGCCATAATGAACATTGTTTTAACGGGTCCATACAACTCCAGTTACTGATTGTGATATTTATTCTTGGAGGATCAGTGTACTTTGTATTCTATTAGTAAAAAATAAATTAGGCAATTCTTAAATGTTTTCATAGAAATGGAGTCCTTTTCTGAAAATAATCCATACACCTGATTGTTAATTCTACTCAGCAGGTGGCACATAACATGCGGACTTCTACAGGACAATGAGATGCCACACTGGGAATCACAATTGAATTATGCAGAATTCACCTTCAATAAATGTTGCTGCTTTGGGAGTTCCTGTATTTATTGTTATTGTTGACAACATCACTGACAGCAGTGATGATTTGCATTTTGCTCCCTGAAATGAATTAGTAAGGGCAAAATAAATATAAAATGGGAATATTGCTAATATGCAGTACAAACAGAAATGACTAAAAGTCCAAACTGTCAGGGTCATGTAGACAACAAAGTTAATTAATTTACAGGCTATATTGATTTGCTTCTTCTAAATATTCAGGGTCTCTAGCTTTCCCAAAGTGCCCAATACCTATGATTCATCCTCTTTTAAATACAAAGCAGTGTAGAAAATCATTTATGGACATAGTTGAGGGAAAAAAGAGGAAGCTGTTGGATAACCAAATGGAGAAAAGCACAGCTGGAATCAACCTTTGACCTTGCTGAAAATATAGACAGTCCATTCTTCTCCACCTCAGCTTTAAATACATTTAGAAGCACGGTTTAAGTCTTGAACACCAGACTGATACCATCTGGCACCAAGGATACTGATCTAGCATACTGTTAAAAGTCATGAGAGACAGAAGGCCATTTGGAAAACCACATTGGTTTAAGTCACCACATTAACATTGTTCTTAGTCTCTTTTCATGTTCTTGTTGGCTTTTATTTTAATTTATCTAAAACACTAGTAATTTCTGTTTTAGAAACATGTGCAAGTGAATGAGTTCATTTGCTCTGAGCCCCGTTCTAGAGATGGAAGGAAGGGCATATATTTTTTATTATAAGAATTCATACAGAGGACTATTCTGAAAACTGCACAAACCACTTTAAATTCATATACACTCTTATTAAATACACAATAACATTAAGTTGTACATTTCATAAAACAGTTAGCATGGACACTTAAAGAGTATAATTAATTACTCAATGAAAATAATGCTATTCTCAGGATTGAATGGCCTTATGAACAGTAAGTCATAATTTCCTTCAAATAAAGCATAAGAATTACTGATTTGCCAGAAACATTACCACACAAAGTAGCTCATAAATTGAATAGGGAGCTCTTAAAATAAGTACTTAAGTTAATTATATGAATTGGACATCCACATAGAATGGAAATTTTAGAGAAACAAATAGCCATGTTTTAGTCTACTTGAAGTAAAGTATGTACATGCTTATTCGGACACTCTTGACAAGTTATTGAAATTTTATACAGTTGGTTTTCTACAGTCTGCTAGCACAATTATTAACTAGTTCCACTTCTGGAGACATGTAGAATATGCACTGTGAAGTTATAATATTGGGAAGAGCAGAAGGCTCTGAGTTGAAGTCACCAAAGCCCAACTGGTTCATACACATAGCACTGACCATTCTGTAGAACTATCTCAGTTTCCCCTTTGTGCGTAGCCTTTTGAGAGTCAAAGTTTTTAAGTAATTTAAACAGTAAAATAAGGTGAACAAAGCAAATCGACCCTTCAGTTGGTCCCAAGCTTACATCAGTATCTCTTTAAGATGTGGACATGATCTTTGCTAATCACTACCACAAAGTAAAAACATCTTGCAACTGGAGAACTGAATAAACACAAGAAGAAAATTCTTGCATAGAACAAAAACGGAACATCTATAATACCACAGTCTAAACATGGGCTACTCTATTAGAAGTTATGTTAAATATATAATACTATATATACACATTATATATAAACAAACTGAATTTATTGGGGTGAATAATGTTAACATAACTTCCCTCTCATCCTAAGGAAGCACACGGGTTCTAAAGTTTGTTCCCATGTTATTCACACCTTACAAGCTGTCACTCGAAAGATGACTACATCTCACAAAGGTTATCACTCAAAGAACACCTGATAACAAGACAAGTAAAACATTCTAAATATCCCCCTGAATCTCCAGCTGTTGCTGTTTATATGTCTGAATTTTCTAAAATATATTCAGCTAACTCCATTTCCAAAGCAAAGTGGGTTTCTAAAACCACTGAAAGCAAAAGAGCAATTCCGGCACTGACAAATGTTATTTCTAGGTCCAGCCACAGGTAATGATGATATAGTGCCAGTGAGTTGAGGAAGAGTAGCTTAAAGGTTCTGGCAATTTGCACCAGGCTGGCAGAAAATGCTTTTCTGCAAGCAGACTATTAATACCATCTGAAGTGGTGTCAAGCATGTGGCTACGCTAATAGGGATAACTGTAACAACATTCATCTGGATGAAATTAATGCCAGAGGTATTTTTGCATTTTGTTTTCAGCTCCATAATAAGGAAAGAAAAGTTTTCTTTATTGCTCTGTCAACATTTAAAAAAAAAAGTGGGAGCATGGGTCTAATGAATAGCTGGAGACTGAGGTCTATGCACCAGGGCTGATAGCAAAAGAAAATCAATGCTGGTAGCTCAAGTGCTAGGGTAGTTCACAGGTTCCTGCCATGTGTCTATCCCCAAGGAACACTATCAGTTTCAAAGCAACTATATAACACTGAAGAAAAGGTGACAGAGAACTCTCTGAAGGTGGCACTAGCCATGTCCTTGGAGCTTTCCCAAAACAGCTTTCTTAGAGTTAGATAGGGAAGTGTACTACCCAGAGGACATCAAGAATGTTCAATCACTTGTAAGGGATGGATGGACCTCAACACAGAGCTAATATCTTATAAAGTGCTTTTCAACCAAAGAGCTCAGGATGCAATTACCAACAGCATTTCATTAATCC